TGCCTCATTGCATGAACAAATCTTTTTGAAAGCAATTTTAGCAGAGTTTCGCAGGGCAGGAGTTGAGGAGGCAACAGTTCAACAGGTATGTTTGTGGTTTAGAGTACTTTTTTTTCCTCTTAAAGAGGCAGCACTGTCAAAATTATCAGGCAAAAGCATAAATATTTAAATATTTGAGGTTTTCATTCTTAAAATTTGATGGAAGACAGTAGAATAGCAAGGTAAATTAGGGCATGGCTGTCCAGGCCAGCTGTGAACCCTAATTGAATGCTACCACCTCCTTTTCAATGGGACTAAATACTTGTAACTGGAAACACCTGCTGCTGTGCTAATATTACCAATCATCTGGATCACAGAGTGATTTTTTTTTTTTGGTTTGCATCTGAAAATATTGCATGCCTCCACCTAACATGCTTTGTAACAGGAAAAGTAGAAGAGAACCTGAAAATATCAGGCAACATAGTTCAAGGAGGAAAACTGAAAGTTGATTCCGACTTCTGTATTGCTGTCTTTCTCAATAGAGGCAGGTGTGTTGCTCGTAGCTTCAGTTTTTTAGTAGACTCATCAACTACTTTGTACTGGCAGAGCTGTGAAGACTGCACAGAGGCTGTGTCATGCTTCACAGTATGGAATCTAAATGTTAATACTTACAAAAATGTTTAGAACTATGTATATAAATAACCTGCTTTTATATGGTTATATGGGTTTATAAGCAGGCATTTTAATGGTGTTTTCCATTGCTGGTTCCTGAACATCTACACCAGTTGATTGCTTAGATACACTGGGTGATTGGTCCTTGAACTTCAAAGAATATTTTGTTAGCTGATTTGTTGCCTTTTCCCCATAGTTTTCCTCTAACACCTAGAAGGTTTTCTCCTGTTTTTTCTAAATAGAAAAGCACAAGAATCAGCTGGGGTGGTCTTACAGATTTATTAGTCAGCGTGATTTGTAGCAAGTGCATTCTCCTGTGCCTAGAAGTGTATCATCATGCCTTTCTAAGCTGTGATCTTTCATGTTTGTAGTCAGTGTGGCTTGTGCTTACTCATCACTGGGCCTGAATATCGCCTCTGAGCAGACTGATATGTAATGAGTTGTATGTCAGCTCTTAATCAGCTGGATAAGCTTTAGTCCACATAGTCCAGGGAAGAAGAGGTGTAGTAACAGATGAGATTATTTAGTTAAAAAATTGCACACAAGGTAGGTTGCTAATTGTTTTGCTTTTTGGCTATATAGAAAATAAAACTACAGCTTGGAATTTTTACTTCCTTGCTAAAGTCCTAATGGTTGGTGCTAAATCAGCAGTGTGTGTGCATTTTATGTGGAGCTCGTTTTACCTCCCCTCCCACAGACACGAAGGGAAGGAAGCTTCTCTTTGATTTTTTTTTTTT